CCTCCTCCTCGTCATCTTCTCCTCCATCTCCTCCTCCTCCTCCTCCTCTTCTTCCTCCTACTCCACCTCCTCCTCGTCATCTTCTCCTTCTCCAGTTCCTCCTCATGCTCCCGCTAGTCCTCCTAGTCCTTCTCCTCCTCCTCATCTCCTCATCTTATTCATCCTCCTACTCCTCCTCCTGCTCCTCGTCCTCCTCCTCGTCTTCTTATTCTTGGTCCTCCTCCTCCTCCTCCTCCTCCTCGCCTTCTTACTCTTCGTCATCGTCCTCCTCCTCCTCCTCCTCCTCTTCTCTGTACTCCTCGTCATCTGGCTCCCCCCCCTCCTCTTCTCTGTACTCCCCTTCCTCCGCCTTCTTTCAATTGATCAATCTGCGAGGCTGAAGCCCCGATGAGCCCCCTTTCAGGCCCTGCCATACAGCACGTCGGCTGCCCTAAGTGAAGGCAGGCTCGACGAGGGCCTGAGGGGCCTCATTTTGGTCACTACGCAACTCAGGAAATTCAGGCAGTTGTGCAGCGCCAGTTGGTTGAAGGAACCCACACCCCGGGCAGCCTGTGTGAATGTATCGAAGGCAGGCCCTGGGTTGGATTCGGGATGTGGGCCTAACACAGGCGTTGACAGTTGGCCGCGAGCAACCATTACAGGCCCAGGGCCTGAGACGTGCGGACTGGGCCTCAGCCTACCGGGGCCTACTGGAAGCTTTTTGGGAAAGGCCCAGCGCAGCTTGGGACAGCAAGCAGGCAGGCCACTTCCATATAGCAAAGGGCCTGCCTCCGCATTGGGCATTCGGGTGCTGGCTGCATGCTGCGCAAGCACTGCTGCGCTATAGCTCACTGGCACTCACGCGCTCACGGGCGAGCAGGAAGGAGCAGGCAGCCATAGCCAAGCTGCGCTGTTGTAAGCTAGGTGTGGCGCAGGGTGGTCCTTGGGTGCATGTGGCATTTGTGTGTTGGGGAACGAGGTTGTGAGTGAAGCGAGAGATATACCTGGTGCGGGAAGCGTGCAGCGTTGGCCGCTATCTGCTCGTACTTCAGTGAAGCTGTTGTCGTCATCTTCGGCATTGTAGTATAGGCTAGATAGGATCTGCCATCTGTAGTTTGGGCGTCGAGCGCCAAGTAGGATATCAACATTGGTTCTTCGTTGATAATGATGATGGGGCTATTTCAGCATTGTCAATTATGAACTTTTGGAGATTTTGTGAAACTCGTGATGCAATTCTGCTGTTGGTTCGAGGTCACAACTATCTGGTCTCATATGTATTATGCTTTTTGATTGTTGAGGTTCGCGATTGCTCCTTCCTTGCAAATCAATGAATCAATGAATCAATGAATCAATCACTCAGCCAATCGTTCAATCCGAATCCAATCAATAGATTGGATTGGATATTGAAAATCCAATAGATCGATTGGATTTTCAAGATCCAATCCATATTGATTGGATTCGATTTGAAAGATTGATTGATTGATTGATATAAAAAAAAGGAGGGTGGGAGGAACAGTGGAAGTCGGACTTCCACCGTTCCTACCGCCCTTTTTTTTTTTTTTTTTTTTTAATCAAGCATTCTCTCCAACTTGCACCGCCCCTCCTCCTCTTCACCGTTTTCTTCTTCTTCTTCTTCCTCGCCATCATCTTCTTCTTCTTCTTCGTCCTCCTCCTCCTCCTCATCATCATCATCATTATCTTCTCCTCCTCCATCTCCTCCTCCTCCTCCTCCTCCTAGTCCTTCACCTCCTCCTCGTCGGCGCCGTCCATCGCCGCCGTTGTCCTTCTCCTCCTCGTCCTCCCCCTCCTCCTCTTCTTCATCTCCATCGCTGTCTTCCTCCTCCTCCTTGTCCTTGTCCTCGTCTTCTTCTTCATCCTCCTCCTCCTCGTCGTCCTCCTCCTCCTTGTCTTCTTATTCTTGCTCCTCGTCGTCGTCGTCGTCCTCCTCCTCTTCTACTTCCTCCTCCTCCTCCTCCTCCTCTTCTTATTCTTGGTCGTCGTTGTCGTCCTCCTCCTCCTCCTCTTCTCTGTACTCCTCGTCCTCCGGCTCCCCCCCCTCCTCCTCTTCTTTGTACTCCTATTTCTCCGCCTGGTTTCAATCAATCAAGCAAGCAAGCAATCAAGCAATCAACCAATCTGAATCCCATCAATGGATTGGATTGGATCTTGAAAATCCAATCTATTGATTGGATTCGATTTGAACGATTGATTGTTTGATTGATTGATTGATTGATTGATAAAAAAAGAGGGTGGGGCCTCCCGCCCTTTTTTTTTTTTTTTCTTTTCGTTTAAATCAAGCATTTTCTCCAACTTGCACCACCTCTCCTCCTCTTCACCCTTCTCTTCTTCTTCGTCGTCATCGTCCTCCTCTTCTTCTTCTTCGTTATCCTCCTCCTCCTCCTCCTCCTCCTCCTCCTCCTCTTCTCCTCCTTCATCTCCATCCTCGTCCTCCTCCTCGTCTTCGTCCTCTTCTTCTTCATCCTCCTCCTCCTCCTCTTCTTCATCTCCATCGT